TGGAACAATCGGCCAGACATATTGGAGAGAAGTAGAGCTTCTGTGGACATGCTCTGCAGACACAACTACAAGCTGGGTGCACCCTTCACTGTGGGGAGAAAAGGTGAGGTGGGAGGTCAGGTCTGATGGGTTCAGGGATCTCCCCCGTGTGAACGTGGCCATCACTCTTCCTCCTTATGAGAAGTAACTTCCTGCTTTGGGACAAATGGGTCAGCAGCAGGGGAGTCTGTGTACAGGTTCTGTCCCCAGCTGTGACTCATTGGTTATCCTCACAGGTCAGGTCACTGTGACCTTGGTCCTAGGCCCCCCATGTTCTCAGGGACTTTCAGAACTAGTGTATCTCAACTACAAGGGGTAATGGTGGGCCTGTCTGATAAGGCCTAAATCCCCCCTGGGGGCACTGCCATTTCCAGTTTCTGAGATTTCTTCATATTTCCAGTTTCCTTTTGGATGGTCTGGGAAAGAGATTAGGAGCAGAGATAGTCCCTAAAGAAACTCCTGTGTTGGCTTTGTGTTTTTTCTTCACAGTGTGTCATTTTTCCCTCCCTTCTTAGTGCAACCAGAGGTGACAGTATATCCGGAGAGGCCCCCAACCCTGCAGCACCACAGCGTGCTGCTTTGCTCTGTGACAGGTTTCTATCCAGGGGACATTACGATCAGATGGTTCCGGAATGGGCAGGAAGACAGAGCGGCGATCATGTCCACTGGCCTTATCAGGAATGGAGACTGGACCTTTCAGAAAATGGTGATGCTGGAAATGACTCCTGAGCTTGGAGACGTCTACACCTGCCTTGTTGAGCATGCCAGCCTGCCAAGCCCTGTGTCTGTGGAGTGGAGTGAGAATCACTTTCTGTACTGTCTGGGCCCGCCTCGGGGTCCTGCTGACTCAGTACTGGGCCTGTTACCTCCACATTCGTCTTGGTCACAACACTAATTCTTTGGTTTGATTTGAGAGAGTCAGGGTGTCACTGGTGTCCTTGAGTTAGGGTGGGAGAAACCATGGCAGAGACATGCCTTTATATTGTATCTTCCAAGAAATAAAGAAGTCTAATCACCTTATCCCTTTATCCAACATGGGGGACCAGTATCCTTTAATTCTTTGGTCTTGATATTAGGGGGCATTCTTATGGGCCATAAAAATCAGTAACAGAGACTTCATGGGTGAAAACTTTGGCTTCAAAGAACCACTTCTAAATTTATTTTCTCCAGATAACATTGAATTGATATCCAGCACAGGCTCTGGGATTTCAGGAAGGTGCAGTAAATATCGGCAGCTTTTTACTAACTTTGAGCCCTGTTTCCCGTAGGAGCTCAGTCTGAGTACTCTTGGAGAAAGGTGCTAAGTGGAGTGGTAGCCTTCCTGCTTGGGCTTATCTTCCTTCTGGTGGGGATCACCGTTCATCTCAGGGCTTGGAAAGGTAACGGGCCTCTGAGAACACCTGCCACCCGCCCTGGGGTTTCCCCCACTTCCCACTTTCCTAATGTCAAGATGTGAGGCGGGGAGGCTGGTTGTACTTCTCAGGATCGCTGGGACAGTCTTTTCTGAAGCAAAAACATCAGAGGGTAAACGGAGATGGAGCTCTGATATTGCAGGTCACCCCCCCACCCCCACCCCTCAGATAATGACAACATTTAGTCCCAATTGGAATGTTCTGTTTCTTCCCTCTCTTTCATTCCAGGGTATGTGGAGACTCAGCTGTCTGGAGATGAGGTAATGTCTTCTTCCTTGCCTTTGGGTGGCAGATCATTCTCTCAATCCTTCGGCCACAGGGAGGCGTCATGGGGCTATGATGTAAGGGTGGCTCTGGCTGGGTGGCTCTGTCTGATGAGTTTCTGGAGTGGAAGTGTGGGGGTCCCTCAGGAGACTTTTATCACTGTCCCAGCAGTTCTCAAGAGCTGTCTCCCCACCACCGCCGCACTAAGGTCCTGACTGAAGCTTCTCGCCTGGAGCCTGGAGTAGTACTGACTGATGTGGGGCCTGGACTAAGTAATGGACGCTCGCGAGGTCACTGTTCCTGAGTAGCCCTTTTCTGTGAGGCCTTGGAGGAGTTCTGTGTTCCGAGATCATGCATCTGTCACCCTCCTGCCCTCCTTCCTCCTGCTTGTATGTGTCATGAGTCCCCGTTTCCAAGGACAGTGTCCAGAAATTCCCCTAAGACCTAACTCCTTCCAGTCCCAAACTGTTTACTTTCTGTGGTCTGGTCCTAAGACTGTAAGCTGTTATCCCTAATCTTCCTCTCCTCCAACTGCTGTCCCCACAGTTTTTGGAAGACAAATGCTCAGATCGTCACTGTTTCCTTTTCACTATTTAAAAAAAAATCTTTTTATTGTAAAATGAAACTGAGATACAGACAATCACAAAAAATGTATAATTTAATGAATTATTTAAGGCAAATTCCCTGTAATCACCACTTAGGTCAGGAAATAGAACTTTGCCAGCCACTGTGGTCTCCATGTGCCTCAGGTCGGTCAACCCCTTCCATCCTCTCAGAAGTAATCATATCCTGACTG